TGCATCACGTTACCTTTTCTACCTGGTAACAAAAGACACTGCCCGTGATCAACCTACCTACCGAGATGTATGGGAGGCCTTACTTCAGTTGAGAGAGCACGTACTAGAGTCCGACGTGCAAAAGTTAGCCATGCCAAAGTTGGAGTGCCGCCAATTAGATTGGAGGGTTATACGAAACATGGTGGAGGAAATCTTTAAAGACACCGAAGTCCAGGTGTTAGTCTGTTGCAATCCGCATAGTTACTGGTGCGGAGAGAAAACCGTCCCTTGTCATTTCTATACAACTGGAAGTTGTAAAAGAGGGTCCAGTTGCCGATATCAGCATGTCGTTCCAGTTCCAGTCCCGACAAGGTTCCAGGAGGAACCATCTTTTAAGAGGGGGGCAATGTTACGATTTTAAATGTTATGGCGTATAGAACTGTAAATATTTTATGACTAATTCTTTTGTATTGATTCTCGTAATTTCTAGGTCAAAAATTCTACCTGACAAACAACAATCGAATGTTCTGGGGGCGACAAGCCGATAGAGAACATGTTTTGAGACCAGTCGCCGCCGTGTCTACGTCGAGATCGAGAACGGCATCGTATTTTCTACAAACATTCTGTTACAAGCTGGTTTCATATAAATACCGGAAGAATTTCATTGAGGAGTCAGTCATAAGAAGATCGGTAAACGCGGTTTACTTGTACGAAACGTGAAATAAATACATTTGTAAAAGTTATTTAATAAATTAGTAATTAGCTATCGTGAGTTTTAATAAATTAGATTATAGACAATAAATTAGGATAAAGACAAATAAATTAGAACTATATAAACTTAACAATATATATATATATATATATATATATATATATATATATATATATATATATATATATATATATATATATATATATATAACAAAAAATACTAAACTGGTATGGACATGTAAGAAGAATTATCGACAGCAGATGGATAAAGAGAATAACTGAATGGAGCCCCATAGTAAGAAGGAAAAGAGGGTGACCCTGAAGATCCTGGAGGAACGAAATAGACGACGCCATGAGTAAGAGAAGCCTAAACGATGGAGAATGGGACAACAGAGAGAGATGAAAACGGTTGAGCGAGGAAAGGCAGTGAATACTGTAGAATCTCTAAATATATATATATATATATATATATATATATATATATATATATATATATATATATATATATATATGTGTTATTGTGAAGAAAGATGATAATCACGTGGGAAATTTTTACAACCTGTTTTTAAATTTAAACATCGCCATTTTTTTTTTAGAAAAAGAAAATAGACCAGAGGACTAGATTTTTTGAGATGGTTTATTTTTGATGAAATTAAGCTACTTGGTTAACATATTTGAAAACTAAGTATTTTGAACATTTCAGTGTTAAAGTTTCAATACAAATATATTTAATAAAAGTGATAAAGTTAATGCTTTTTGTAGAAAATTGAAATTGTTGAGCAGAAATTTATAGCAAAACAACCTAGAAATTTTACAAATGTGGATAAATGTATTCAAACTTACAAGATTGAAGAACAACATGTGAAAGTTGTTTTTGAAAAATTGAAAATCAATTGTATCAGTTTAAAGTTACACCCGGAAGATTCTCTACTACTGAAGAAGAAACCTTTATAAACTTTACTTCAAATTGCAAAATTAACAAACAGTTTAATAATAAATCCTTCTTTGAATTTTGGACAGGAATAAATGATGAGTTTTTTGCACTGAACACCAGAGCGTTTCATATACTATTACCGTTTTCAACATCCTACATTTACGAAACCGCATTTTCCGCGGTGGCTGCTTTAAAGACCAAATACAGATTGAACGAATTTAAAACGGATCATACAATTTAATATATGTCTGTTTGAACTGCATTTGAAATAGTGGACCAATATTAAACTTGGACAAAAATAAATCCATACCTAGGTATAGACATTGTATAAAATATCGTTCAACTATCTGACTCGCAACAATGTTGTTTGCGTATAGGAAGCGATAATAGTTCAGGAAATGAAGCTCGAAAAAATTTAAAACTTCGCAATTTTTTCGTCAAGCTTGGATTGAGTTGAAATTTTAACAGAAGATAGGTAATAGCCCAAGGATCAAAATCTATATCGAACCGAAGTGCGCTGAAGGGGTTTAGGGGTGAAAACTACCCCTAATTGTCAAAAATTATAAAATAACATATTAAACCTGAATATGGGTAAGATTTGGTTTGAATTAGTTAAATAATGATTATTTTATACTTTTGAATAGAGTTCCATTATATTTCAACCCTTAAAAAGCAACCCTTATTAGAGATTAATGTAAAAAAATTACTAATTCTAAAAAAATGATTTCGCCTTGTATCGATTTGGATAAAAATTTGGATTTAAGCTCAATTTACCCACTGCTTTATAGTTTATGTCATGTTGACGAACCCTGATTGTTCTTAGGGGTGAGAACTACCCCTAATTGTTAAAAATTATAAAATAGCATATTTAACCTGAATAGGGCTAAAATTTGGTTTGAATTAATTAAATAATGATAGTTTCGTGCTTTTGAATAAAGTTCCATCATATTTCAACCCTTAAAAAGCGACCCTTGTTAGAGATTAATGTAAAAAAAGTAGTAATGCGAAGAAAATGATTTCGGCTTGGAACGATTTGCATAAAAATTTGGAATTAAGCTCAACTCACCCTCTGCTTTATAGTTTATGTCATGCCGATGAACCCTGATTTTTCTTAAGGGTAAACTACCCCTAATTTTCAAAAATTGTAAAATAACATTACAAATCTTAAGATCAGTGAAATTTGGTTTGGATTCGTTAAATAGTGATTTTTTATACTTTAAAATACAATTTCGTACATTTTCAACCCTTAAAAATCAATTGTTATGAGTGCTATAGGTGAAAACAATTTTTTGCCAAAATTTTGCAACTTTTCAACTTTTGAAAATCACCCTTTGCAAATACAAAAAAAAAATATCAACATAAAAAGGCACCATATATTCTTATACATTTACATAAATAGTTGAAAATATTTACATTTATAGGTAAAAAAATAGAACAAGTAGAGTTACAGTATAAACCGTTTTTCTGCACCCACATGAAACGCCGCATCCTTTTTTGCATTGGCAAAAAATAATTTTCAAAAGTTCATCGGGTGCAGGTTGTTTGTTTATGCGTACGGGTAATAACAAACAATCTTTGGAATACCATCCACAATCTGTTGCTCTGATATTTTCATTGCCAAGCCATAGACATATGAGCAGATGTTTTATTCTGTTGTATGGGATTTCAAAATAAGAACGGTTAAAATAACGCCTCACTACCTAATATACCGGTTTTGTAGATTATTATGCTCCGAAATGTACTGTACCATACTAATGGAATTTTCCGGGAAAAAAAATGGTTTTTTAACGTATTTCCTTCATTTTTAACGATAGAGTGTTTCTTTAAAAACGATTTTAGAGAGATTTTTAAGAGCTACAAGGATCTGTGAATTAAATCTTTTTGGAACCCTTGGTTTTTAAATGGGGTAAGTTTAAAGGGCTCGAAAAAGATGGTGCTTGATCGTAAATCGATGCTTTAAGCGGCTATATCTCGCTAAATATTCATTGTACAACAAATCTAAATAAAGGAAAATTTTATTTATTAAAAAAGCTACTATTTAGTACGTTTTTATTTTTTTCATATATTCAGTATTTTTGGGGATATTTAAAAAAGAAGGGTAAAAAATATGAAATTGTAAATCGTTTCTCGCTTTATGCTGTACTTTTTCTAAAACTAAGCATTTTAAATGGGTCAAACTTCTTGGACGTATTACCAATACATGTACAAAGAGAATTGTAGAAGGGTGAAGATCGATTTTAATTATGGGGGTGGTTAGGGGGTTGTTTTCATCGATTTTTTCGTAAAAAAATGAGGTATTGACCTTATTTTCATCATAACACTCAATTTTTGAGCTAGAATCTTTTTCTATGATAGGTCTATTTATGCTCTTTAAAAAAGGTTCTGTGAGTTTTCTTCCAAAAATGCGTCATTTTCTCGATATTTGACTTTGAATCTTTCAAATTTGGCATTTGAAGAAAACCGCTGAACATCGATATTCCGTATTTCGGTTCCTGTTATAATCGCAAAGCATTTTAAAAAATGAATTTTATTTGTCTTTTTAAAAGCTACAAATTTATTCTGTACATTTTTTTTTTTTGATAAAATGCAGCATTTTCGAGTTATTCGCGAAAAATCGATTAAAAACGTCAATTTTTTCGTCTAAAAGTTGTTACTTTCAATCGCGAATAACTTGAAAAATATCAGTTTTACAAAAAAATGTATACAACATTTTTTGTTTAGAATCACATTTTTAATCGAAACTTGTAGTTAAAACGTAAAAAAAATTTCACCACCGAGATGGGGCGGCAACCACCTCCAAGTCTTTGGCGCACTTTGGTTCGATATAGATTTTGATCCTTGGCTATTAACTACCTTCTGTTAAAATTTGAAGTCAATCCACGCAGGACGAAAAAAATTGCGAGGTGAAATGCTTCATTTCCTGGACTATAAGTGGTTTGACAGCATAATAAAATCGTAGATATATGTGCAGCTTTCAATTTTTATGATTTCAGAATCCAGCAGCCGGCTGAATTATTAGATTTTTATAATATAATTATTTGACAACCTTTTGTTGGTCAACCACCTACACCAGAATTGAGCCGAAATGCATAATATTTCGTATGTTCCGAATTTATTTCGTTCAATCTGTATAAATCCCAGCTAAATATAGAAAAAGAACTGACAGCGTATATGCTCACGCCTTCACCCATTAGTAATAGTGCTCTCTCTATAGAGGCTCGCCCTACAGGTTAAGAATCACTGAGTAACCACATTCCAAAGAGTAAAACGTGGTAATTACATCTAAACAACAATGCCATTGTATGCTTATAACACATACAACAATTTTTTTAAAAAAGTAACCTTATGAGTATTTGTTAGATAAATATTTTAGTACCTGTCATTATTATATGATCATATATAACATTAGTTATGAGTCCAGTTCCTCTTTTTGTCTTAATATGGATACCAATGGCGCCATCTTTCAATTCACAGTTCGAAAAAGTAATATTGTTTATGGTTGCATATGTTGCGTGATCATCAGTATTGCTACCTGCTGAAAAGCTAAGACCATGGCTTCCTGCGCATTTAATACCGTTGAAAACCATGTTCGTTCCACCATTTACAACAATGCAATCATCTTGGTTATCTACTGAAGAGTTTTCTATGTGGATATTGTTACCAGCTGCTATACCGAAACCGTCTGTGTTTCGACCTTTCTGTAAAATATAATATTGTATTAAAACATATTTTTTTCAATACAATAGAATCAAAATACTAACAAATCAATACGAAGCATTAAGCAGTAATTAAGTAAAATTTCAAATTTATGCGTTAACCCTGGAATTAGGAATAAAAATTAAAAGAAAAATATTTCTACTTTTAATTGTTAAAGATCAAAGTGCCTAATGTTTTGATGTATTTAAATAAAATATGCTAAGTAACAGTGGCGGCCGGTCAGGTCTCAGGGTCGGCAGGGTCGGCAGGGTCGGCAGTGCCGACCCACACCTTTATAGATACTATAGATTATTTTAATATTTAATTTAATCAATATTTCAATAAATAATTGTGGCAGGTAATCAGTTGATGTCATTTGTTTTTGTGAACTAAAAAATTATCTGTAAGATAATAAAGACTAAATTTTATTCATGGTTTTTAAAAGAATTCGACCAGACTAAATTTTATTCATGTTTTTAAAAGAATTCGTCCAATCTGAGCGTTAAGTGATCCCTGTGTAGACTTTTTAAATAAATGTTCCGATATCGGAGACATCCATCCGCCTATGAATTCTTAAAAAGGCACGTTTTGTTTTTTCGGCTAGCCGATCCCAACCTTGACTTTACTTGTAAAAATCAACGGAATATTGCTTGATTAGCAACCAAATATACATTTCTTTCCATAGGAACTTAATTACCAAATACGGCAAATTTAAATTTGCCGAAGTTTCATTTGGATTGGTGATTGGTCACAAACTGTACATTGCGAGGGTGGGACGAAATGTTATTTCATATATTATGTAGTAAAGCTAAGTGATATTCAGTGCACGAACTAGCCTATCTTTTTGTGATTTATTTTTATTTTCTAAAGTAATACTGTGATACGTTACGTCTGCCGTAAATAGTTAAAGGTTAAAGGGTTTTTTGACATATTAGAAGTTTTTTTTAATTAAAGTGTAAACAAATTCAGTAAACACCTAAAGTGTAAACAAATTCAGTAAACACCTGGGTTTTCATCAATTCCATACGAAGAACAAATTGTTATTAAAAATAAGGGGCGTCCTTCGCCAAAAATGTCCCGCCTTATAAATATTAGTGCGGGTAAGGGAAGTAATAGATCATTTTCAGATAATTGATACAGCAAGTACTCAAGGCTTACTGGGAGTGAAATAAAAAACAAACTTTTCTGTTGGCCTTGCATTTTAGTTTCGACAAATAGGGGCAAACACCAAAATCAAAATAAACATGATACTTCGAAAGATCATACTTACAGCCAGATTAAATTAGATTTATTTGGAAAACAAAATATCCATGTTTCATTAGATAATGGCCAACGTGAAAATGCTATTAAACATAACGAAATTATAAAAAGTAATCACGCAATTTTACGTCGTTTAATTGATATTGTAATTTTTTTAAGTTGTCAGGAATTATCTTTTAGGGGACACGATGAATCGGAGCATTCGTTTAATCAAGGTAATTATAGAGAACTAATAAAAATGTTTAAGAAATACGATTTGGAATTTTCTAATTTACTTTATGATTCGAAGACATTTAGCGGTGTATCTAAAACAATCCAGAATGAATTAAAAGAATCAATTAGTTAAATTTTGAGTAACGTTATTGAATCTGAGATTCAGAAAACCATTTGTTTTCACTAGAAGTAGATGAAACTACCGACATATCATGTCATTCACAATTATCAATTGTTCGATACGCGTTACGTGGTAATATCTATGAGAGGTTTTTAGGTTTTACAGACGTGAGTAAAAGCCATCAGGCAGAACATATTTTTGGTGTTTTAAAGGACAAATTAAAATTTTTTGATATCAAAAATAAATTGGTAGGGTAAACTTATGACGGCGCTGCCGTGATGTCTGGTGAATTAAATGGTCTCCAGGCAAAAGTTAAAACTATTGAACCGCAAGCTTTATTTACTCATTGTCATGCGCATATAATGAATTTAGTATTGCAAGATACATGTAAAAAAATTAAAGAATGTCGTCTTTTTTTTGCCAGTTTAAGCGGATTTGCTTCATTTTTCTCAAGCTTGCCTACACGTACTAATGTTTTAGAACGGTTTGTTTCGAAAAAAAATGCCAACAATTTGTCAGACGCGATGGAATTTTAAATCTCGGTTAGTTTTCACTGTAGCAGATTTTCGTGAACAGCTTCTGGAAGTTTTTGATTTTATTATTAAATGTGACGATTTTAAAAGTGATGATATCTCGATCCTTGAAGCAATCGGTTTGAAAACTTTATTAAATGATTACTCTTTTAACACACTTTTACATATTTTTAAAAAAGTCTTTACCCAAACCGATTTGATATTCAATGTTGTTCAAAATCAGTTAACTAACATTATTAATTCCAAAAATAGAATAACAAGACTGGTGCAAACTCTCAGTCAGATTTTTGTAATGATAGTAATTTCCAGTATATACGCAGTGACGTTTTGGACTCGCTTGATTTTTCCGAACCCCCAAAAAAAAGACAATGGCATGACACAGAAACAGATCTCGAAAAACGAGTATATTTTGAAATTTTGGATACTATTATTATGCAAATCATCATCATCATTTAGACCATACTCGTCCACTGCTGAACGTAGGCCTCCCGTAGTTCACCCCACAAATTTCTGTCCTGAGCCGCCTGCATCCAATTTTGATGTGTCCGTTTCAGGTCATCCGTCCATCTTGTTGGTGGTCGTCCTCTATTTCTAAAGGCATCTTGTCTGGGTCTCCACTCAAAAAATGCGTTTTGTCCATCTGCCGTCCTTCGTTCTCGCGACGTGCCCTGCCCAGTTCCATTTTAAGGTTGATATTCTTTTGATTGCGTCGGTTACTCCCGTTCTACGGCGCAATTCTGTGTTGGGTATTCGGTCTCTCAGGGTTAATCCCAACATGGACCGTTCCATTGCCCTCTGTGTTGTTCGAATTTTGTTTGCGGACGTCTTAGTAAGTGTTAGCGTCTCCGCACCATAGGTTAGAACTGGCAGCACACATTGATCGAAGACTTTTCTCTTCAAGCAGATGGGAAGGGCTGATTGGAAAACATCTCTTAGCTTTCCATAAGCTGCCCATGTCAATCCTATTCTACGTATTAGTTCATTGGTCTGGTTATCTCTACTTAAGCGAATTTCGTGTCCCAGATATTTGTATGCTGATGTTTGTTCTATACTTGTTCCAGCTATGTTGATGTTCTCACTCAGAACAAGATTTGTCATCACTTGTGTTTTTGAGTTATTGATCTTTAAACCCACTTGTGTGGAGGCATGGTAGAGTCTTTCGCACATTTCGATGGCATGATCTATGCGGTCTGTTATCAGGACTATATCGTCCGCGAACCTGAGGTGACTAAGCTGCTCTCCATTTATGTTTATGCCCTTTTCGTCTAGGTTTGCACGCTTACACATGTTATCCATTATGCAAATAGATACTTGTTTTTCGAATTTTGAAGATTTGCAAATTTTTGACCTCTTTGACGATTCAAAATTTAAAAGTTACGCCAAAGAGTTTCCAAGATATTTATTAGACAGGTTAATTAAAAATTGTCCATCATTTGAAAATGAATTAAAAGTTTTATATGCTGATCCAAATATTTTCGGAAGATGGGATAAGTTACAAGACATGTATAATTTTATATATTGCAATTAATTACAACAAACTGTTACCGAAATTAATAAATTATTGTCATTAATTCTCTCATTACCACCAACGTCTGCCTCAAATGAACGAGATTTCTCTTGCCTCAAAAGAATCAAAACTTATTGTCGAAATACCATGAAACAAGAGAGAATGTCAAGCTTGTCTCAAATATCAATAGAAAAAAAAACTTTTAAAATCTCTTCAAAACTCTAATAAATTTTACGATGACGTTATTACCCATTTTGCTACTTCCAAACAACGTAGACTAGAGTTAATTTATAAACATGTTTAGGTTCTAAATTTATAGGAAAAAACAAAAAACAAGAAAACACAAAATCTCCTATGATGATTGAAGTCTTTATTAGACAGTATACCTATCTGAGGAGACAAAAAATACCTTGCCGACCTTGTCTCTCAAGCCACGAGCCGCCAGTGCTAAGTAACATAACTTAGAAGTAAGGTTACTACGATGTTATATATCTTTCCTATACTGTTGTACGGAGTTGAGTCGTGGACTCTCATTCTTACAGGTGCTACTTCCAAGAAAATTGAGCCTTTCGAAATGTGGATTTATCATCGAATTCTATAGATATCCTATGCCGACCACAAAAAAAAATAAAATGTCAAATTTAATATTTTTTCCGACTCAAGTCGCAATGTTTAAAGTTACTTCTAAAGCAAAAAATTCCAAAAAGAATCTATTATGGAAATAGAAAGAGTTGGAAACTGGAGGACAAAATTATGATGAAGGAACTTCAAAGTTTTAAGTCAATATAAGGTTGAATGTTCGAATAATTAAACTTTGATAGTATACAAGGCAACTATCGAACACAGTGATTATTAAATCTTGCCCAAGTACTTTCGATCAATAGATCATCTTCAGGGGCATCTGAAATAAGCCAAGAGACGTTTTTTTATAAGAAGGAAAATTAATTCACTTGGATAAGAAACTCCAAGTTTATGGTTGAAAAAGTTTTTATGTGATAAACGTTTATAGACTTACTTCGTCAGTTGTGGCCTATCCGACATGAGTAGAATGTCATACATGTAAATTTGGACATAACAATACAATACACAAAGACAAACAAACACTTTAAAATTTTTAAAAAGGAGAAGCTACATGTTATATAGAAGCCGGAGACAGAATGGGCTCCCGGTCTAGCGGAAATGTTGAGATGACATGTGACAAATGACAGCTTGTAAAGGGCAGTTATGTGATCTGCACCTTTCAAAATTCTATGAAGCTAAATATTGACCAAAGGTCCAACTGACACCACTATAGGAAATCAACTGATGAAATATAAAATTAGTATATTTTTATGTAGATTGAATAATCCAAATCTCACACTCAAACCTGTCTATAATAATTAGGATGTTAGTTTGAAAGCGATTGAAGTTGACATAAAGTATGAATGTAAGAAAAGACTAAACAATATATTAGACAGTGGATGGTTGACTACAATAAAATGGTCCACCAAGCGCTATCAGTACTGTAAAATAGGAAAAATCTGAATATGCAAGCTTTTCTATAGAAAAGCTTGCATATTCATCACAGTTTTTTCAACCTAATGCTTCAGATAACATCAGATATTTCTCCTTCACTTATATTAGTAGCATTTCCAATAAAATATCTAAACTTTTTACTTCTACAATTGATAACATCTAAAATTTCCTTTAAATCACATAACACTTTAGGTTACTTCTTAATCAACACCAAAGATAGGATGAATACACTTGATAAAAGTGGTATTTACAAATTAAAATGTGATGATTGTGATGCCTCTTATGTAGGTCGAACCATTAAAAAGTTATCCACTAGAGTCTCTGAACATTTGAAAAGACCAAATTCGTCAAGTTTTGATCAAGACTTAGTATCCAGCAGCCATAATTTTAACATCAATTCTGGTTCATCTATCTTACATGACATTAGTAGAAAGAAAAACTATCTTGAGTTGGATTTATTGGAAGATTTGGAGATTACAAGGGAAACAAATGAAAACTCTCACTGTCTTAATACTCAAATTAATTTAAATTGTACTAAATTTAATCCTATATTTAAAAACTTTATTATAGCTTCACCTCGTAGAAGACCCAGCTCGACTGTTTAGACTTCATGCACTGAGCATTTCAATATTAATTTTAAAGTTCTTCCATTGACTGTGGATGCAACTGAACTACTTGGATTATAACCCATTTATATATTTTGCTTTTAATTTTGATTTTAACTTTTAGTAATTTAACTGCATATTCAGATTTTTCCTTTTTTACAGAACTGATAGCGCTTGGTGGACCATTTTATTGTAGTCAACCATCCACTGTCTAATATATTGTTTAGTCTTTTCTTACATTCATACTTTATGTCAACTTCATTCGCTTTCAAACTAACATCCTAATTATTATAGACAGGTTTGAGTGTGAGATTTGGATTATTCAATCTACATAAAAATATACTAATTTTATATTTCATCAGTTGATTTCCTATAGTGGTGTCAGTTGGACCTTTGATCAATATTTAGTTTCATAGAATTTTGAAAGGTGCAGATCACATAACTGCCCTTTACAAGCTGTCATTTGTCATATGTCATCTCAACATTTCCGCTAGACCGGGAGCCCATTCTGTCTCCGGCTTCTATATAACATGTAGCTTCTCCTTTTTAAAAATTTTGAAGTGTTTGTTTGTCTTTGTGTATTGTATTGTTATGTCCAAATTTACATGTATGACATTCTACTCATGTCGGATAGGCCACATCTGACGAAGTAAGTCTATAAACGTTTAAAAACTTTTTTCAACCATAAACTTGGAGTTTTTTATCCAAGTGAATTAATTTTCCTTCTTATAAAAAAACGTTTCTTGGCTTATTTCATATGCCCCTGAAGATGATCTATTGATCTATTGATTGAATAATCACTGTGTTCGATAGTTGCCTTGTATACTATCAAAGTTCAAAGTTTTAAATTATTTTTATTTTACCATACGAATTAGTCTTAAAAGGAAAGTATCAAAAGTTTAACTTTCTATTTTAAGGATTTTAAGATATTAATAACGCAGGAGATAAAGTAAGTTTATTATAAAGCAATATATTATTGATAATTGATAAAACAACTGCATTAACAATTTTAATTGAACAAAATAAAATTGGCAATATAAGGCAACTCCATCTAAGCGGTAATATTTTTAGAGGATCTTTTTGGACTCTGCCGCAAAGTTGTTCTTTAGATTCATTAGTAATTAGTACTAATTAAATATAACGTAAGTATGATTTTCCCTTTGAAAATATTCTACCTTCTAATTTAGGAAATTCTTTCATTGAAACATTTAAAAATATTAATTTTTGGGTACGTCAGATCTTTAACCAAACTATAAAAATAAACTCATGTAGTTTTTATACAACATTGTTAAAAAATATAAAATTAACTTACTTTTCTTCCCTCGTGACTATCAATAGTCCAGCCGCTGATTGTTAAATCATTGGCTCGTATTCCAACACAAAACAGGGCACAATTCTTTAAATGAATGTTTTTAAAGACAGACCCTCCAGTGGTTGATATTTGCACAAATCTTGGTTTAGTAACACCGCCCGAACCGCCATGTCCATCCCAATATTTTTCACCTTGAGCGTTTAAAATGCTACCTAAAACAAATAGCTACATTATATTAATAAACATGAAACGCCGAAATGTTTGTACGGACATTATGGCATTATTTCACAACAACTGCATCAAATTAGATATTTCTTTTTTTTTAGTGTTTTTTATATTATTACGAAAAGGTTTGTGTAAAAGGTAATTTTCAAAAAAAATTAAAAGCAAATACCATAAAAACGCAACAAAAATAGAATAAACAGTCTATGTCATAGATGTACGAATAAGGAGTTCGCCTTAGCGAACTTTGCTGGTTCGGAGAAAGATTTTTCTTATCGCACAAAGCTTCTGAGATACTCCTTAGCTTCGAAGGACCAGCTGGAGAATCCAGCACCTGAAAGGTTGTTCCCTTGACAAGGGATAGGTGTAAATATTAAATATGTAAAGCCTTAACATATCTTTATTGCAAGAAGAAAATAGCCTACATTACTGTAGAAAATAGCATTTAATAGTTTATGGATCAAAGTAAAGATTTAACTGGTATAACATGTAAATTAAAATCGTTGTTAAAATGTTAAAATTGTTGGATCACAAATCGTTTATGCACTCGCGGCACGATATGGCAACACCGCGACTTGGAACAATTGCAAAGTTGAGATTAAATATAAGTTTTCTGCTTACAATAAGGCACAGCATTACTTGTTACACAGCTCTTGTTACCATGCACTCACTGCCAACCATACTGCTCACAAAAAACTAGATGATTGGAAAATAAGGGAATATGAATAAATGAATTTGATGGGTCGCAAGCGCTTGCTTGTCAGACCTTCTCTTAAGACGGTTGCTTGGCGACTATATGGTTTTTAGAAACTTGTTGGTCTTGCTAACAGTTCAGGACCGAGAATGGACTGGTTTTTGGGACTAGTCCCAGTTTAGATATAAGGGAAGTTTTGTTCTGAAAATCTAAGATTTTTACAATGTACAAATGTATGGTAAATTTGTACAATGGAAGCAGAAACTTTAACGGATAAAATTGAGATACTAAATAGGAAAAGTAAGTTGAAGTATCATAAAGATCGCATCCACATAAATAATGATCTCACAGCAAAAGGAAAAGAAATACAGAAAAAAATAGATAAAATAGCAAAGGAAGAACAAATTAAAGAAAAAGGAAAAAAAGAGGCTTTAAGAAGTAGTGAATGAAAAGAATGTATATGGGATGCAGAAAAACAACAAGTAAAAGAAAATACCGAAGAAGAATTGCCAAAAAACTAGTTGAAGAAAAACTACCAGCTAGATATGATATTGAAACGGCAAGACAAAGGAATATGGCCATAGAAAACGGAAAAATAAATACAAAAGGAAGGAAAAGTCCACGGATAGAATAAAAATTGGGACTTGGAATGTGAGAGGTACTTATGAGCGAGGAGATTTAATAAACTTAGACCAAATTATGGAAAATATACAATAGATATCCTTGCCCTGCAAGAAAAGAAACAACTGGGAAATGAAATAATAAAAAAAGGAAAGAGCACACTGTTCAAGAGTAGGGAAGCAAGAGATACTTTAATATTGTTCTGAAGCTATTTTCTTGTGGCATTTTAAATTAATTACTATTTAACTGGGAATAAGCCACAATTAAAGATAAAAATACGTTTATTGGCGTTTCAATTTCCACTTCGGAAATCGTTCTCAAACTACAAACAGTAAATTAAACAAATTTTGTTTTTTGTTACATACTGAAAAATTCTTCTTATAATTTAATTTTATCTGACTCATTTATATTGACAATTCAGACATAGATTATGCATTTTAAAGTAGACGACTTTAAAATGATATTGCCAATATTGTTGAGTTGCGCTCCTGGGACGACTTTACTTATAAGATAGTTCATTCGATTACATGAAATCAACTTTAACTTGAGAATATCCGTCAGAAAAAAATCATAGCATGTAATTCGTCTTTAAAAAGACAAACACATGACATGATGACAGAAGAATTGTCCTGTTAGTGATTTCATAGTAAATTATGAGGGAAAAAACAGGAAAAAAACCTCATAATACTATCCCGACATGGTAAGTATTTGTTCGTGCATTTAGTTTACCTTCAATAAACACCAAAATTCTGATTTTATATGTTTCGTTATTTAAAAAACGTAAATGATGTATCCTCTATATGTTACTGACTTACTAATACTGGTAGCTTCTTATTAATAACTTCCTCTTTCAATATTGGTAACCAAATCCTACTACATTCTGCCGAGGAATTTGCGACACAATTGGCCTCATTTAGCATATTTAGAGCCACTTCTTTGATTTTTTTTACCATTCGTTTCTTTTAGGACTACATTTGAATTATTCCATTGAACCCTATGTTCATTATCCCATGCGTGTTTACATATTTGAGATCTATCAAATTCTCTATTTTTAATGTAAGATTGATGTTCACTTATTCTAACATTTAATGGCCTTGATGTTTCACCTAAATAAAACTGATTGCATTCACAAGGTATTTTATAAATGCAATTCTTTGTCCTTTCTTGTTCATTGTTAGGTTTGGTTTTGGACAAAATAGATCTCAACGTGTTTGTTGTTTTGAATGTTGTTGAAATGTAGAATTTATTTCCTATCCTTTTAAGTTTTTATGATAATCCTTTTATGTACGGTATTGTTATTTTCCTCGTATTATTCCTTGTGTATGCTGTAGGATCTCGTTCCTCCTGCTCCCTCAACAATATTGGCAATATCATTTTAAAGTCGTCTACTTTAAAATGCATAATGTATGTCTGAATTGTCAATATAAATGAGTCAAATAAAATTAAATTATTAGAAGAATTTTTCACTATGTAACAGAAAACAAAATTTGTTTAATTTACTGTTTGTATTTGAAATGCAATTGAAAAACATAGATGAAGCCTACGTAAACAAAAAGCTAAGGAATTTCTACCAAGAAGTCAATTAATCCAGAGAAACTACAAAGAATAATCCACATTATTGCAATACACAATACAAAGTATTGCAAAAACAAAGAAGGCTTACTGCTAGGTGATACAACAGAAACATTAAATAGATGGGTGGAATATTTTGAAGATCTATAAATGTGATAAAATACCAAGTCATCAAAAAATAATATTGTTAGGAGACCTAAATGGCAGAGTAGGTTCTCAAATAGACGATGATGTGGTGGGACGGCACGGAGAAATATTTAAAAATGGCTCAGAGGACAGCTTAATTGAGCTTTGTCAACTTTTTGGTTTAAAAATAATGAATACCCAATTCCAGCATAAAGATATTCATAAATACACTTGAGAACGACCTTCACTAGAACAGAAGTCGATCATAGACTATATACTAATGAGACAGAAATCAAAAGTGCCAAGACTGCAGAGTAAAAAGAGGATCTAATTGTGGGACAGACCACTACTTTTTTTAGCTAATCTTTTGTGCTCCTTTAAACAATACTAGAAACACAACACTATATATATATATATATAATATATATATATATATATATATATATATATATATATATATACAGATTGAACCAAATTAAAACGGAACATACAATTTAATACATGTCTGTTTGAACTGCATTTGAAATAGTGGACCAATATAAAACTTGGACAAAAATAAATCCATACCTGGGTATAGACATTGTATAAAATATCGTTCAACTATCTGTCTCGTAACAATGTTGTTTGCGTAAGACGGATTTGTCTAAGGAAGCGATAATAGGTAAAGAAATAATAAATCAGACTTACTCACAATCAATTTAATTTAACTATCCGACGACCGGTTTCGCTTTCTACAATATGCAAAGCATCTTCAGGTCTCGGTACAAAGTTAAACAAATGATGCCGGTACTCTATTAATAGATGGATGGTAGAACATGTTTAAAACTACTGTATATTGTTGAATGGAGAACTCAATACTATTATTGCAGTTGTTTGACAGTAAACGGGGAGTTCTTGAGGAGGTAGACTTGATCCAATGAATTTGAGATGTGTGTGAGATTGTTTGTTAAATGCAAGTGGTGTAATATATTATTGTGTTATTGAAAGTTATTTATATTTATTCCAGAGATATATTTTTAAAATGTGTGTTATTTATTGAGTAATTGTTTTATGAAGGTGACATTTATGACAATGAATAAGTATAGATGTAAAATTGTGTGGGTGTGCAATTATTTCCAAACTTGTAGTTATCAAATTACTTTGATAAAGTTCTATTGGCAATGTGTTAATTATTGGAATGGTCAAGTGAATAAAATGAATAAAATGGTAAAATACAAACACTTAAGGATAATTTAAACACACTAAAAACAGAAAACACTTAGAAGGGACGAAACAAACATTGAATTTAAAAGGGGAAGGACTTTAAATCACTACATCATAGTATCTGGCACAATGAGCACATTCATGATTTGAAGCGATAATAGTTCAGGAAATGAAGCTCGAAAAAAGTTAAAACTTCGCAATTTTTTCGTCCTGCATGCATTGAGTTGAAATTTTAACAGAAGGTAGGTGATAGCCCAAGGATCAAAATCTATATCGAACCGAAGTGCTTTGAAGGGTTTTAGGGGTAAAAACTACCCCTAATTGTCAAAAATTATAAAATAACATATTAAACCTGAATATGGGTAAGATTTGGTTTGAATTAGTTAAATAATGATTATTTTATACTTTTGAATAGACTTCCATCATATTTCAACCCTTAAAAAGCAACCCTTGTTAGAGATTAATGTAAAAAATTACTAATTCTAAAAAAATGTTTTATCCTTGGATCGATTTGGATAAAACTTTGTATTTAAGCTCAATTCACCCGCTGCTTTATAGTTTATGTCATGTCGACGAACCCTGATTGTTCTTAGGGGTGAAAACTACCCCTAATTGTAAAAAATTATAAAATAACTTATTAAACCTGAATATGGGTAAAATTTGGTTTGAATTAATTAAATATTGATAGTTTCGTGCTTTTGAATAAAGTTCCAACATATTTCAACCCTTAAAAAGCGACCTTATTAGAGATTAATATAAAAAAATTAGTAATGC